TCACCACAATACACCAAAACACTTTTACCTTTACACTGGACGCGCGTTTCGCTAACCATGTTAGCATCATCACAGCAAAATATCATTTTTGCTATTTTTGACACACATTCAGACACCATAGATAATTTTATGTCTAAGTTAAATAATCGTTTTCCTTCCATTAAATTTACGCATGAAATTGAGAACAGCGATAGTTTACCATTTCTAGATGTATTAGTTATTAGAAATACTAATAATTGCCTGGAATTTGATATCTATAGGAAAAATACGATCACACGCAGATATATTCCTAATGAATCACATCATAGTGTTGAACATAAAATGGCTAGTTTAAATATATGGTTTAAATTTCTCAGTTCATAGATTACTTAGTTTCCCACTTTCCAAACCACCAAACCAAACCAAACGAAAGATATGAAATAGAAAGAGATTACATTAGGAATGTATCTGAGTGTAATGGATATTCTCCTTCACTAGTTGATAAATTAATTAGAAAACGTAGGTATAGGTTAATGATTTCTGAAAATTCGACTTTTCAAGTGGAGAAAGATACGTCTAAATATTTTTCGATACCCTTTGATAGAGAGTTATCCGTGGTCTAAAAGGAATTTTTTAAGAATGTCAATTATAAACTTGTGTATAGTGCTAATAATAAATTACAACAATTATTAGGTAATCCAAAGGAATAAAAACACCTCCACTGGAAAGGTCGGGTATTTATGAAATTTCTTGTAAAGATTGTAATCAGAAATACGTTGGGCAAACTAGAAGATCAATCATTAACCTAGATTTAAAGAACATTTAGCTCAGATAAGATATGGTAGACCGGATAAATCTTGCGTTGCCGAACATATTGTTGATAAAGAACATTGTATAGATCTTAATAATTTAAAATTAATTAAACAAGTCTCAAATTACAGGCAATTAGATGCATATGAAAGCATCAGAATTAATAAATGTAAAGATAGTATGAACAGAGACAACGGTCCAATTCATTCAAGTTCTTTGTTCCTACTACTCTAGTGGCGGAAATCTAACTGTTACGCTGTTACGCTCACTGGGATCTGACTAGGTTGGCTAGATTTTGCCATGCCCACTCGGTGTCCAATGAGCGAGTATATAAACGCTCAACTTGTAGATTGTACTTTAGTTTATAATCATCTGCTGATGATGCTAACATGGTTAGCGAAACGCGCGTCCAGTGTATAAGTAAAAGTGTTTTGGTGTATTGTGGTGAGTGTTTTTATTTTGCTTAAATATAATTTGACATTGACAACATTATAAGTTGACAACATTGCCTGGAAACTTATATGGTGAAATTTTGATAAAATAATTTAGTACACACTAAAAACACGGTATGTCGCTAGTGGTAGGAAAAAAATTTTTAGAGGTTACTAGTTGATTTGGTTGCCCGGTACATACAGGATGTTTCCTAATTAATCTAAAAAATAAAAAATCGTTAGAAAACGAATTAAGGCGGGCTCTTAGAAGTATATTTATTTTTTTCTCGACAACCGTTTGATGAACAAGAAAACCTCAAAGATCCAATTTTGTTGAAAAGAATGGCCAATCAAGAAAAAATATATTTTCTTTAAAAAAGCAGTGGTGTACCATTTATGTTAAGCAAAAAAAACGATTTTTTTTAAATTTTTAACACCCTAATAGATCAGAAAGGAAGTACTTTAGACCCAATGGTTATACATATAAAAATTGTTTTAAGAACACATGAGGAATCACACCATAATTTTTTTAGACTAATTCGAAAAAACACCCTGTATATTGTCAACTTGACAATGACTGCTGATAAATCAAAAACACCTTTTCAGTGAAAAAACCTGATTCTCGCAGGAAAAAATTTTGATTTTTATTGAATTTGGGCCTGCGTTTGCAAATACTGTTTGTTTTTTAATTTTCTATCTATCTAAATTTTAAATATCATAGTCAGAAATAGTTTTATTATTTATTAACTGTAAACATGGTGTTTTCTTGTTGTGTTGCATCTGCAAAGAAACTAACAAAACTGCAAAAATGTACGTGTTTCCAAAATACGATAAGGTATGTATCTTAGATAAAAGAAAAATATATGGTATGTATTCGTTGTTTGATTTTTTTCGTTCGCTTTAAAATCTATAAATCTCGGTCGATTCATTAGACAGCCAGTCGACTTTACGATCATTTACATGAAACTCTGTAAAATAAATAAAAAAATAAATTGTAAAATATATATATTCTTATTTTTTTTAAAGTTAAAGTTCATTGTGACTATACTAATATATCAGTGTAACTTTAAAAATAAATCCTTTGAATTCAAATATAAACATAAAAAATATTTACAGCAGAAAAGGCGAAGGCGCTGGGTTAAACGTAGTCTCCACTAAAAACACGGAGGGGCGCTTTGACCCAAAATTTTACTATTAAGTTTCATATCTATCTTAATAGTAGATTATTTTCTTTTATCTATGGTTGACAACATAAAGTATGTCGGCATTTGCTTGGTTTTGCATTGTTACTTGTTTAGTTTTAATTTAAAAATAGATGTAGTTTTTCTTAAATTAGTTAAAAAACGGCTTACACAAAATTGTTCAAATCTGGCACGTGTATTCAGCATACCCAGACCTTCAAAAAATATTTACGACTTCGCAGTTTAAAGTCTGCATGGAATTTCCTATTTTTCCAACGCCGATGCACTACCCGGTACAATTTTTAATATTACAGTTATTAAACCAGTAAGGAGTTAGATAGAACGTAGAGCCACAATAAACTGTGGCCCGACTCTTAGTAAATACGATACAATAGTTAGAAGGTACATCATCATCATTTTCAGCTTATTCAACCATTTCCAATTATGATGTAGCCTTCCTCACATATTTAGATACTCTCTTTGTAGTTGGCCCATCGTTGTTTATTGTTGACTATGCCCAAGTTATCCCTGCTAATTTTCTAATATGATGGTCCCATCTCAGCTTTGGTCTTTTTCTAGATCTCTTAATTCCACGTGGATACCGTGCTGTAATTTTTGTGGTCCATCTGTTGTCCGGCCTTCTTGCTAGGTGTCCTGTCCATTGATACTTAAGGGATTTGACACTGGATGGCACCTATTACCTGGGTCTTTTGTCGTATCCACTCTATTCTTTTACAGTCTCTCTTGGTTATTCCCAGCATATTTCGTTCCATTAAAAGAGATTTCCAGATAAAGTGGCATTCTAGATTTGAATATGATTGAGTTTCTTCCATGAGTACTCCGTGCTAACTAAATTGTTTTGTTGATTTCTGGTAATTGAGATCCCGAGTGTGTATTTTATTACTCAGATAAGAATTCGACAGACGATTATTAGTTGTCCCAAATATAATATATTTTTCTACTATTTCCAGTGTTGTGGTATTTATTAGAATGTCTTTTCTCTCCACGAGTTTGTTGTACCGTATGATCGAAAAAAAAACGGCGTCGAGTTGGCTTGGAAATGACGATCGATGACATTTCCTATACAATTTTACATATAAAATGACAGCGATCTTCATTTCATAGCCATCGCTGACGCCGTTTTTATTCGATCATACGGTACATTACTTTAGTTTTTTCTAAATTCATGTTGAGACAGGTTAGCAGCTTCAGAAGCTACATATTATTAGGAATAAAATAAAAAATGAATTTCTATATGTTTTTATTATGAAGGAATAAATGATATAATATAATATGTGTTTAGTTTGATTCTAACCAAAAATAATATGAAGTTAATCTTGTGTGTACTCCAGGCCATCCAACAGAGCACCCCAAATCTGAACCATAAGAAGCAATGCCAACCTAGAAAAATAAAAATTTTAATGAATTATGACAGTAGGTTATTTTTTGTATTACCTGTACACCATTGACTACTAAAGGGCTACCAGTATCTCCCAAACAAATATTTTGACGATTTTGCACTCCACTGGTGCACATTTGATACGTTTGGATCTGGAAGAGATACGGAATGGAGCATGCCAGGTGCGGTAAAATAGTTGCTTCGATTTTTCTTAGAACGTCGGAGTAATTTGGATAATTATCATCAAACTTTCCCCATCCCGCCACGAGACCTGTTTCGTCAGCATACGTATCTAGAATTTCTACCAGGGATGGGGTTTGTATAGTCTGGATAGCATCTAAAATATTCACATATTCACTTGTACTGATGTAGGTAGTATGTAAAACAAATCTAGTACCTAAATATGTCTAATTTATCAATTGAGTATAGATAGTTGAATGAAATATGACTTGCATATCTAAATGCCTATACAGAGTGTTTTAAGAAACATGTGACATCTATCTTGGGGAGATTCTTCATGTAAAAATAAGATTTATTTTTCATGTTGTTACGTTTTTGACTCGGTTCCGTGTGCATAAAAAGTCGCATTTATTAAACGCAATTTATTTTCCACTCACTAATTAACAAAACAAGAAACACTTAAAAACTATCAAACCTATTTACAACTTCCCTCTTACGCACAGGGCCTCGGTATTGTTGACAGGCCTATGTTGACAGGCGCCTGTTATGTTTCTATCTGTGGTTTCTATATACAAAATTTAAAAGACAACCCTCGTACTCTAAAGTGATTTTTTTATATACAGGGTGCTATAAATTCGAGGTACGAGCATTGGTATCTCGGTAACCGTAATAGATACGAACACAGTTAAATTGGGGCAAAGTTGCGCTTTGGGATGTTCACCAAGATGCCATCAGAAAAGTTTTAAAAGTTTCAAGGATTGCTGAGTTTTTTGGAAAAAACGGATTTTTTTGAAAATGAATTTTATTTTTTCCTGTCGTTACTTTTAAGAAAATCAAAAAACTAATTGCACATTCTCATAGCCACTTTATAAGGGCTATCTGATAGTATTTCTATATTTTTAAATTAGCTGATAATTTGTGAGATACAGAGGCTAACTTAGAGGCTTGTAGCACCCTGTATATATTTTAAAAAAGTTTCTCTTTGCTAATAGTCTATCATTTTACTTTCTTGCTACGAACCTGTTAAAGTTACATCTTCTGATAAGTATACTACTGCAATATCATTTAAATGATTTTCGGTATCATATTCTTCATGAACCGTAAAGTTAGAGGATTCAAGATGTACTTGAGTGTCTTCCACAATTGTCAAATTATGTGCACCCAAAATTACCTCTACTGTTTCAGCTCTAAAATTTGTCATTAGTTCCAATAAAAATAAAAAATAAATTTTTTGATAAGAACAACAAACATTATTATTTTACACTATCTCACCCATAGACACAATATGCAGCTGTTAAAACTTTATTAGCTTGGATCAGTGATCCTCCACATTGAACTTCCTTCTCATCGATCACTGTTTTTAGAGCTACCTAAAAGGCGTGTTTTTTCATATTTATTACCGAGTTTATTACTAAAGCAATATAAACTATAAATAATGATGAATTCTGATTTCTGATGGATTATGTCAATAATATACAGGGTGTCCCAATATTCCGTGGACATAGAACTAGAAGTATTTTTGGAATAAGTTTTGAGGTGCCTATGTTTTGCTAAGCGCTTTAACAATTGACTTTAAAGTTCGGAAAGGGTGAAAACTACCCCCATCCCTACATATGTTTTAGTATAAATATTTTCCAACTCCACCGACGAAAGATTTTCTTTTCGTAAGATGGTCCCTCTAGAGTTTACTACATGTTTTAATTTTTTTTTAAGTTTGATGTCCTCTAGCGGACAAACGAAGTACTTTTGTATTTTGTATAGGGGTAAATTGGGTCCAATGAACTTATTTTGATTCCAAGAATACGCAGTAGTTCTATGTCCACGGAATATTGGGACACCCTGTATCATGTCTATTATGTTTGCTATTTGAAAGATATAAGATAATAAATTTATGTCAAATGTATATCATAAAATTATGGTAAATTTATGATATAGCCTTGTTATTTTTTTATTGATCTTGACTAATTTTCTTGATTGATTTATTTTATTGATTACTTCAGTCTATTAAAAATACACGGGAAATAAAGCAATAATTTATATTTGTACCTTTAATAGATATTTTATACGCTTTACTTATGTATTTGTTAAAGTTTTAATATCCAAAATAGTTAAACTTACAACATATGGAAGTGAGTGAGGTACAACTTCATCCCCATGTACCACTTTTAAAGAATCATCAAAGACTTTTATGCCAGTGACATTATTCTAAAAACATTATTTTGTGATAATAGTTATTGTTTTTTAAATTATATAGGTACTCTTCAAACTTACCAAAAGAAAAACTCTAAACACAAATAAAACAAAAACTCGACTCCTTGTAATCATCATATTTTTCTAAAGTTAAACAGTTTACTAATTTTGTAACTTGTTTTTATTCATTTTCAAGATACATATATGCACTATCTAAAGTATTTGAAGTGGTTTTTGTATAAAATAAGCAACGTAACATTATTTTATGTACATAATATTTATTTTAAAATTATAGAATATAACAGATTAGGCAACAGGAAATAAACAAGACTTATTATTATTAGTTTATTGTTAATTTGTATCGTATTTGTGAATTAATCTACCACACAGCATTCGCAGTGATCCAGTTTATGTAGGATGTTACTCGTGCGAATACAGAAGGCCATCCATGGGCGCATCCCCATCCACTTCCAAAAGATACAATTCCAATCTATAAATTAATAAATTTATTAATGAGATACACATTAAATTTCCAAATACACCCAGATACAAAAAAACCCAACGGAAATTTTTTCATTAAGTTTTTAAAGTGTTTAGGTTTGGTTTTTAAAGTGTTTTTTACAGCGTTTTGAGATGGAGCGGACCATCCATCGTTTTTTTTCAAGATAGTCGTCGGAGGAAATCATCCGGACGAAGCATATAGGCGAGTATTAGTATATGAGAGAGAGATAGAGAGAGAAATATATACATGAGATACATTAGTATATGACATAAATTAGGATTGACTGACGTATGTCAATTGTTTTTGGTCACTTCCTGTTTCACCGGAAATTACTATTTTTTCATTTTATTCTATAGAAAATGGCACTCTGAATAGAATGAGATTATTGATATGTCAATTTTTGACATTTTCGTCTATGATTTATTTGAAATTGTAACATGCGGAGACGATCAAATCTATTTTTCCAAGGCTCCTTGATTGAAATTAGTATTTTTAACACAGCCATGGCACTCTAGATTAAAATTTAAAATACGATTTCTTTTTAAACGAATATGTCAACAGTTGACATAGAATATTTCATTCTATTCAGAGTGTCATTTCCTATCAAATAAATTAAAAAATATCGAGGGTGTCATTTAAAATTCAAAAGTTGTAGCTATTTTCGGTGAAACAGGAAGTGACCAAAAACAATTGAATACGTCAATCAATCCTAATTTATGTCATATACTAACACACCAAATCTCGTTTTTCTATCTAAAAAAATAAAAAAAAGTTATGGGGCTGAGCCACTTTTGAGACGCACCCGGTATATTTATATACAGTTTGTTAAAAGAATCAAGAAAATAGGTCTAATAAATAGGTAACCATTTTTCCGTTGCGTTTTTTTTTGCATCTGAGTGTATAACTGTCAATTAACAAAAGCGACAGCGACTTCTTTTTATTTTCCAAGATGTCAGTTCCCCTTGCAACAAATATTTCCGTGCAACCAGACTGTTGCACTTTTGTAAACAACAATTTTCTCTTTGCAAGATCTATTATCATTAGTTTTACTGCTATTCTTAGTACTATCAGAATTTTACCTGTGTTCTGTTAACGACCAAAGGTCCACCAGAATCACCATTGCAGGTTCCTCTGCCATTCAACCCTGAGAGACAAATGTGCGTTGGAGAAACAATGCCAAAATAGGCCAATCTGCAGGGGTAATTGCTAATGATCTCGTTGGTTACTTCCCTCAAAATAGGAGAAATGCTGTTGGAACTGTCAGATGGTCTACCCCAACCGCTTACCAGAACAGTTTCCCCGATGTAGCTGTCGGTAAGCTGAGTAGGCAAATCAACAATACCGATTCTGTCTAAAACACATAAAGTATTCTGTATATTCTTCTCAGCAATAGAAGTTTAAATTGTTAAATTATCACAATAACGCTAATTGGAGGCTAGCAGGACTAAACAACATTGATAGAGGAACATTAGGGGGCGGTTACCCAGGATGCGAAATTCTATGAAAAATTGTTCGTACGTAAATAATTGTTCTATGTAAATTTTCGTAAAATTTAATACATAATTTGACATGGGTACGGTTACATTGTTGTTACCTATTTGTAGGGCTTTTAAATACGACTAATATTTTATTTTTATTCATACCAGTAGGATTCATTTTGAAGTGAAAGGATTCATTTTGAAGTCTTTACGCGCGCTGGGAATAAAAATTGAAGGCCGTGACACACGAGCGCGAGACGAAAAGTGGTAGGACGCGTACCAAAGAATATTCTTTCCGCGTACGGCTTAAAAATACGTAGTGACGCGACGTGTACAGGGTGTCCCACTAAGAATAGCTCTCGGCTGTATCTCGGAAAGTATTAGCCGTAGCGGCTGCGGAAAAAACGAGGGGTGTCTCACTAAAGGAATTACATGTACATTTTCTTGGCAGTCACTGGTAGTCATTGGCAGTCTTATGGCAGTCATTCGCCTATAATAATTACATGGCAGTCATAGGCAGTCTTCTTCATAGTCATTGGCAGTCGCTTAGCAGTGGAAGGATATTTTGGCTGTACGTGTACATTTTTTACCCGAGTGAGACACCCCTCGGGAAAAAAATAGTTATAACTAAAGAGGCTATGGGAAATTGCTGGAAATTATTTTCAAGTTTGTAGAACGACCGCTAGGGGGCGCAACTGCAACAAAAAATAAGAAATGGAGTTTTTACACAATTTTGCCTAGATAAGGTGTACTATAAGTAACAGCTTCATAATCTTCAGTAAATTTTGAATATTTTTTGTTAGAGCCATTTTCCCTTATCTACCAAAATAAAGTGGTGGGGTAAGGTTAGATCTGTTTTTATTTGAATATTAATAACTCTGGACTGGATGATCGGAATCCAAAAAGCGAGGGCTCTTTTAAAAGTTTTTTAGTCTTCTTTAGTAAAAAAATCTTTTACTCTATATTGTACCATATAAATAACAATAATAAGCTTTTGAACGTAGACGCTAGGGGGCGTTGTCTTACAATTTAACAAACATAGCGTTTTTTTCAAAGAAATTAAATGCAATAGTATGTGTAATTCTAGCTGATAGTAAAGAGTAGTAAAAGCTTAAAAAATCAGCGAAAACCGCATCTTGGTATCTTTTTTCAAACCGAAGATATTAGGAAAATTATAATAAATACCAAAAAATAAGCTCTTAATTACCTTATTTTTACAATATAGTATCAGTAGCCCTCTTGATTAGGCCAATTCTAACAAAAATAAGATAGAAACAGTTAGTTTATTTTAAAATCGACGATATACCAGAATATCATAATATCAGATGTATTAATATCTAATAATTAAGATATTAATAATAGTGAACAAGAAACGATGATTCAGTGAAGTCATAGTAGGCTTTGGAAAAAAGTTGCTTTTGACGTACCTAATAGTATAAACGTCAAATTGTTATTAGATCAACATTTTGATAGTCCAGCGTTTTTTATCTTTTGATTGCTTTTTCAAAATGCCCGAACAACTTCAAATAATAAAGGCATTTTGAAAAAGCATTTAAAAGATAAAAAAACGCTGCTAAGACTATCAAAATGTTGATCTAATAACAATTTGACGTTTATACTATTACGCGAAAAGCAACTTTTTTCCAAAGCCTACCATGACTTCAATGAAACATCGTTTCTTGTTCACTATTATTAATATCTTAATTATTAGATATTAATACATCTGGTATTATGGTATTCTGGAATTTCGTCGATTTTAAAATAAACTAACTGTTTCTATCTTATTTTTTTGTTGGATTCTGATCATCCAGTCCGGAGTTATTAACATTTAAATAAAGATAGATCTAACCTTCCTCCACCACTTTATTTTAGCAGATAGGGGGAAAATGGTTTTAACAAAAAAAAATCTAAAATTTACTGAAGATTATAAAGTTATTATTTATAGTACCCATTATCTAGGCAAAATTCTGTAAAAAATATATTTTCTTATTTTCCATAGCAGTTGCACCACCTAGCGGCCGTTTTACAAACTTGAAAATAATTTCCAGCAATTTCCCATAGCCTCTTTAGTTATAAATATTTTTTTCCGTAAGCCCTACGGCTAAGACTTTCCGAGATACCTACAGCCGAGAGCTATTCTTAGTGGGATACCCGGTATTTGTAAGCAGTCCACATGTTTATAAAAAATATTGACATTTTAACATAAATTTAAATAATACACGGTGTCCCAGAAATAAGTGCAAGTATTTTAACTAGTAGTATAGTTCAACCCCAGAAACACGCCTATGAGTTTTTCTTCGCGAAAAAAAATTTGGAAAAAGTTAGTTATTAGTTAAAAAATATAATTTCTTGATAATATGGTAACATAGGTAGTAGATTAAATTTACAAGAAAGAAAATCCAGAAAAGATCCAGTGGTTCTCACAATTTTAGCAAAAAATCGTTTTTTTGGAAACTTTCAAAGTAAAATAACTACGTCATTTTGGACTTTTGATTTGAAAAACGATAAAGAGAACATATGTTTCCTTTATCCAGATCTATCACCCCTTAAAATACTTGCACTTATTTAAGGGACACCCCATATAATTACATAAGGTATGACTTTAAAATCCTTTTATATTATTTGGAACGTTTGAAGTTGTTTAAAAAGGTATTTGTGGTGTTTGGAAAAAAATAGCATGTTCTATGCGGAGTAAAAATTACTTTTTGTGCCTCGTCTGTATGTCGTACAGCCTCACCACAAAGTGTAATTTTTACTCCTAATAAAACAATATACTATTATAGTTCCTTTTTGGCGACGTAAGGTTTTTGTCCGGATTTCAGTTTCATTAGTCCGGATTTTGTTCAGATTTCTGAGTTCACTTGTCCGGAATTTCCAAAAGCCTTTATGGAAACCCTACCTTGTATTGACGCCAAGCTACGCCTCTAGTAGAAACCATAGAATTAATGCACCGTAGAAACAAATTATTGTCGTGCGAATTTGCATTCAATGTAACCGCCGCCTTAAGTACCATACCTGATAGAGTTATAGGTTCGTTCAAAATAATTAAGGCAATATCGTGAAGCAAAATATTTCTTTGCCATAAAGGATGTAAAATGATGTTGCTTGAAGCGATCTGTGTGGCATTCTCGCTTGCTAGTGGTGGCATATTGTGGGCACCAAAGAACATAGTAACCACAGCATTATTGCTAAAAAATATTTTAAAAACAATTTTCTATCATTAAAAACGACGAGATGACGATTTTATTTTTAAGGTTAAATTTTTTGGTATGTATGTGTGTTTCTTACCCATCAACGCAATGAGCTGCTGTCAGTACCGTACGTGTGCTGATCAGTGAACCACCGCAAAAACCGAGACTTAAACCAACAGCTATATACAGACCTACCTAAAAATAATAATTTCATTTAGCTATCGCATTTTCATGCAATGTAACATACTTATTTCAGCAATATTTTATTAAAGGAACTATAAACAAAACAAAGAAATGAAAATTTGAAATAACTGATGGAGAATAGGGTTTCCGGAATCGGGGATGTTTTTTGGAACCAGGAATTTCGGTACTGTGCCTCTTACAGGGGTGGATGGGGAAGTGGAAACCGGCCTGGGAAAAACAGGCAACCGGCCCAAATCCACAAAAACAAAATGACCATAACGAAGAAACATATTTTATTTATTAATATTGTCTTGATCAAAATTTTCGTAAAGACCAATATTGGGTCGGACATCTGAATTTTTACTACAAAATGACTCAGTTTTACAGGGTTCTACTGCTTTATTCCCATTACCGATAACGGTAATTTGATCTTGAATAGGCTACGATTTTGAGAAACTTTAAGACTTGACCTGATTCATTCAGTTCAGCTGACCCAATCCTCTGTGAAATACATACATTACTTTTAGCTCTTCGGGTATATACTTTCTTACACATTGTAGAAAGTAGAAAATTCTCTCTTTTCTGCTACAGCAGCAGCCTCGTCGTGTTTACGTGTTTTTAACTGAATGAATCGCGGTCGCCATTAAAACTGCAGCATTTTTTAGGTTATTATATAGTTTTTATCACGAAACTTTTCCTCTATACTTTTCTACATTTGGCATCTTGTATGATAATGCCATGACTCAAACGACAAAAAAAACTAGGCATTACCTAGGCAGTGGATATAAATGTGTTCTGATGTATGCTATGTTACAGTCCATAATAAGAATATTTGGATTTTCGAGACATATATGTTCCCGTCATCCTTCGTGGAACATATGGCTTCTAAGAGATGTTTCCATCTGAACCTATTCTGAGCTGTCTGTTTGATCTCTCCCCATGTTTTCCCGATCTCTTGGGCTTCAGAGGTTACTGTTCTTCTCCAGGTATTCCTTGGTCTTCCCCTGGCACGTCTTCCCTGTGGATCCCATTCAAGTGTGGCATTCATTTTGTGATGTTCTTCTCTACAGTTCTTCGTTATTAATTTGATTGGGCCAGAAAATTCTCAATATTCTTCGAAGACACTTGTTAACAAACACCTGTAGGCGATCCATGAGACCACGCGTAACCTTCCATGTTTCACATCCATAAAGCAAAATAGATTTGACATTGCTATTGAAGAGCTGGACTTTAGTTTTTTTGCTATATATAGAGGAGTTCCACACAGGTGTAAGCATGCCAAAAGCTCTTTGTGCCTTCAAAATCCTTTCCTCTACATCTTTCTCTGTCCCCCATCGCTGTGAACCATACTTCCTAGGTACTGAAATTCATCAACTCTTTCGATGGCTCAGTTGGAGAGGTATAGATCTTGGTTGTTGGGAGTAGTTGACCTCATTTCTTTGGTTTTCGCCACGTTGATTTAAAGACCGACATTATTAGCTTCCTCTTGGAGTCTAAGAAGTTTTTGAGACATATCCGAATGTGAATGGGAAAAGATGCATAGATCGTCTGCGTAGTCCAGGTCTTCTAGCCTGCTTAAGAGTCCCCATTGTATCCCTAGTGGTTCTTTAAATGCACTATTTAGTGCTACATCCAGAACGATGTTAAAGAGTAGCGGCGAAAGTATACAGCCCTGTTTTACACCTACTACAATTGAAATTTTCTCCCCCACTTAACCTTTATGTAATACACAGCTTGTAGCATCATGAAAAGCATTTTAATCATGCGGATTATTTTTTCGGGTATTCCTTTTTCTCTCAAAGCTTTCCGGATAGCTATGTGTTTTAGAGTATCGAATGATCTTTGAAAATCCACGAACACCATGTATAATGGCGATCTGAACTCTTGAGATTGCTCTATTATTATGCTGAGAGTATTAATTTGGTCGATACATGATCTTTGAGGCCTAAAGCCTGCTTGTTCTTTTCTCAAAGTCGGTTCATGGGCATCTGATATTCTTTTTTGGATGACTATAGCAATTATCTTGTTAATGGTGTTAAGTAAGGTAATGCCTCGCCAATTCTTACACTGGGATAAGTCGCCCTTCGAGACATACTAATAATTTATTATCTAATCTAGTTTAAACCTTATTTAACTCTTCTCTGCTGTCTCAGTAATTTTTAGCAAATTCATTTTAGCAACATTTTAAACAACAATTTAGACTTAGCTTTTAGTTCTCCGATTTGGCTTTTAGTCCGGCCCCAATTCAAACCAAGCATAGATATGTTTTCTCCGTCAACCGCAGAGTTCGCGTCAAATTCGTCTGCCTTTTTACAAAGGGGAGCTGGAAAAATATTGCACCGAGGCTCCCATTTGTCAATCTACGCTACCGTATTCTTGGTATACATATAGATCGAGACTATTTAAATTTACTTAATGCTATCCATTCTTTTTTTTGTGCTGCCAGTCAATCATATTTATTAGCTATTAATAAAAGAATAATGGGTAAAACTATACAGGGTGATTCTTAAATAAGTGCAAATATTTTCAGGGGTGGTATATTTCAACCCCAGGAACACGTCTATGAGTTTCTTTGCAAAAAAAGATTCGAGCATTTTCTTTTAAATTTTCCTGTATATTTTAGAAAACTTTTTAGAACTTCCTGTTCACCGCAAATTTTCCTACGGTAGAGTTTCTTAATCTCTGATATTACGGCACTAAAAGAGATGCAAATACCGAAAAATTGAGGTGGCTCAAATTTTTTTAAAAATAAATCTATCTTTTTTTAAATTTCTAATCATTAATAACTCGATTGGACTTATTTGAAACTCGGTAAAGAGAATATATTATGTTTATTTTATTGAGCAACCCTGAAAATATTTGCACTTATTGACTCACCTTGTATAATAAAAATTTTCAAACCGAACAAACAACAGATGATTATTAAAATTATAAGTGTCCCAGCGAAAGACATTTTTTTACAATAGTGTTTTACAAATTGGTGTTTATGTTTAAAAGCAACTGACGATTATACTGATGCAAATTGATCAGTTAGTTATGGAGTCGCTAAGGATCTTGCGTCACTTTAGTTTAAGATTAACCATTTAATTTTTGCTAATCCAATCTTTATTTGAGCTCTGATCGGGACCGGCCCACCGGCCCATCTTTTCACTGGCCCACCGAGAATTTTCCCGTTTTCCCATATGACCCATCCACCCCTGGCCCCTTAGGAACCAGGATTTCCTGTTTTTTTTTCGTTACTTTTGGGTACTAATTAATTTTTGTTCAATGATGAAGCGGTTTATCAATCAGAAAGCAAGGGATGGGTTTCCAAAGAAAAATTATAAAAAAATAAAATATCATTAATATTATTAATAATTAATTATAGAAACTTTAAAAGAGAACAGTAGCCAGCAATACTACTTATTTAGAACAGTTTGATTTCGATGACTAGAAAGTATCAAAAAACGTTTTCACCTAACAAAAAATAATTTTTAATTGTTGAGTCCCGCAACAATCGGGTAATAATTTGGAAGACCGGTTTTATGATGGCTAAAAATATCCGGGAATTCCCGGTGCTTTCAAAATCGGGATTTCCCGGTTCTGGACCCTCGGTTCTAAACTCTAATCGGAAGTATTAATTAGAGTATTAATTAGGATTTTTGGAACCGGAGCTTTTTGTCGGAACCGGAAATTTCGATACCATGCCTCTAAGGAACTAGAATTTCGCGGTTTTGTCGGTACTTGCGGTTTTCGGTACTAGCAAATTTTTGTTCAATTATTGTGCAGTTCGTCAATCAATAAGCAAGGGATGGTTTTCAAAAGTAAAACCGATAAAAAATTAAGTTTTAAATGAAAATTATATCAAATTATTAAGTAATCATATCATGAGAAAAATACACAAAGGAATAAAACACAAATGAATACAAGCGAAGGAAAAACCAGATAGGTAACTTAAAATTTGCATCATACAAAATAAACCAACCTAAATTTGACAAAAAAAAAACTTCAATAACTGATAATAAACATTATAGAAACTTCACAAAAGTAAGAACAGTAAGATATCGCATACTTATTTAAAAGAATTTAATTTCGACCGCTAGAAAATATCAAATGGACTTTCCCATGTAATAAAAAATATTTTTTAATTATTGTTACCGACTCCCGAAATTACCGAAAGATTTGATTTTTTAAAGATCTTTTCTTTGTTCTTTGTCTGTATCAGAGATTCTATCTCTAGATAAAAGCAAAAAAATGTTCAAGAGCTCTGTAAGATATGAAAAAAATATTTTAATTTATAACACAAAGAATTTTCAAGAACAAATTAAAAAAATAATGTTGGTTTGGAAATTACGATTCATGACATTCCTCATATAATTTTACATATAAAATGATAGCGATCTTCATTTCACAGCCATCGCTGACGCGTGTTTTTTTTCGATCATATTGTATTTGTATTATTTGTAAGTCTAAAGATAATATTTGAATTGTCATTATTTCTTATCAACACTGCAGTAAATTGGTCCGAATTTTACACGATAATCTAAAAATTAAAAAAAATAATTAGCAATAAATACTGCTATGACATATCAGTAACAGATTAACATCGTATAAGTAGTAAATATTTCAAAGACAATTGGACAAATTAACCAGCAATAAAACTGTACCCTAATATTGTTGCCCTTATTGTTGATATAGTTACTTAGCTATATAATCTGCTATACTCGTACAGTTATTAAATCATATTAAATTTTAAGGATTTAATTCAGAAAAATACATACAACATTTAATTTAAAATCCAATCAGTTATTATATTTTTCATATTTCTAACTCAGTAGTATTTTTAAGTTGTTATTGTATATAGGGTGAGTCTTAAACAAGTGCAAATATTTTTAGAGGTAGTATATTTCGACCTTAAAAACATCATTATGAGTTTTTTCTCGCAATTTTTTCGGAATATTTTGGAATTTTTTTTAGTTTTTAATTAAAAACATAACTTCTTGATAATATGTCAATAGGTACTTAGTAGATTAAATTTGCAAGAAAGCAAAATTCCAGTGGTTCTCAAAATTTAATAAAAAAAATCATTGGCATTTTTTTAGGAAAAAAACGATATACAGGGCGAGTCTTAAATAAGTGCAGATATTTTCAGGGTTGGTAGATCTCGATAAAAGAAGCATATTTTCTCTTTACCGTTTTTCAAATAAGTCCAAAATAACCAAGTTACTCAAGTTTGGAAATTTCCAAAAAAAATATTTGTTGCTTAAATTTTGAGAATCCCTGGATCTTTTCTGGGTTTTCTTTCTTGCAAATTTAATCTACTACATTTGTTGCCATATTATCAAGAAATTATGTTTTTTAACTAAAAAAATTCAAATTTACCAAAAAATTTTATTGCGAAAAAAACTAGTATAATCGTGTTTCTGGGGTCGAATTATACTACCCCTAAAAATATTTGCACTTATTTAAGACTCAACCTGTAAAACTATTAGACTGAACTGCATTTTCTTTAAACTTATAAAACGGGAAGAAAATTGTGTATAACAATATGAAAAGACCTTCGAAAACCTTAATCATTGAAACAAATAGGAGTCATATTTTTTTCAAACTATAGCTAAAGTAATTTCCAAAAGTATCATATCAAAATAAGATTGCATGTATGTATGTACGTGTACAATATAAACGAAAACAAAACGGCGTCAGCGATGGCTATGAAATGAAGGTCGCTGTCATTTTATATGTAAATTTATATGGGAAATATCATCGATTGTCATTTCCCAGCCAACTGGATGCCGTTATTTTTTCATCACACGGTGTTGGCACTTTTTTGGAAAAACGGCGTCAGCGGTGGCTATGAAATGAAGATCGCTGTCATTTTATATGTAAACTTATATGGGGAATATCATCGATCTTCATTTCCAAGCCAACTGGTCGTCGTTTTTTTTTTTCGATCATACGGTAGGAAGTGGCAAGTAAGGTTTATAAAGGGCCGTTTAAAGGTCATTTAGACCTTCAGATAATTCGACGATAATATGATCTTTTAACCAAAATTATGCTTATAATTACTAATCACTCCCAATTTTATTAAAGGTACCTGTACCGAAATACCCATCGAAAAAATAACGGCGTCCAAAAGGTTTGGCAATGTCAATCATCAATGATGTTCCCCATATAATTTTACATTCGCACCAATTTATTTCTTAGCCACCGCCAGGGGTGCAAGTAGACACAGACTTTTATTTTTTTTTTTTTGGTTAGGGTTACCAGATAAAAACGTGTCCCAAGGATAAACCTTCCAAAAAAATCCGTACAAAATCCGAACTTCTAATTTTTTTAGCAAAGTATCATTTTATGTCGCAGATTTAAGTCGCCGACTTTTTTTCATTTTTCGCTTGAGGAGCGGTACATCAAAGAAAAATCGTGTCGACGATAATGTTTACAAACATGTCGAAAGACGTCTCCACCGAATCAACTCCTATCAGTATCTTTATCGGGTATATTTTGCCATTTGTACTCGTGTAGTTCACAAGGCCAGAAGTTTGTTTTTGATTCTGTTGCTAAAAATAAATTTACTTCTTATTTCATTGTGGAGCGGATTTAAGTCATCTGTACAAAGATCAGTGAGCAAGTCACTATCACTATATAAATTTCTCTTCCGGAAACTAGGACGTATCCAAAAGCGACGTTGCCGTCTGGCTTGCGACGACGCTCATTTCGCAAAATAATTAGGAATGCGGCTGAGATTATAATTACATCCTCGTCGTTCCACATGTTGATAAACACTAAATAAAATTTCGCTCTTTAGTCGAAAAATGAAGTCGAGCAACAATATTTCTTTGGTAGGTACGATCTACATTTCTTGACAATATTTATGAAAATAGTAACAAAAGTTGATGACAATGTCGCCGACAAATGTTGCTTTGGTGGAGACCCGGCGTTACTAATCTAAAGCCAGATCTCCACTATAGAAACATTTGTCGGCGACTGTGTCGCCGACTAGTAAGTGTTGTCGACAATGTTGCTGACAATTCAGTAAAGTCGTCGACATATTTAATCGCAGATTTAAGTCGCCGACTTTATTTCATGTTTCGCTTGAGGAGCGGTACATCAATAGAAAAATCGTGTGGACAACAATGTTTACAAACATGTCGAAAGACGTCTCCACCGAATCAACTCCTATCAGTAACTTTATCGGGTATATTTTGCCACTTGTACTTGTGTAGTTCACAAGGCCAGAAGTTTGTTTTTGATTCTGTTGCTAAAATTAAATTTGGTATGGAGTGGAGCGATGATAAAACAATAAATCTGATTGAAAAATATCAAGCCCACCCCCAACTTTGGGACACTAAGCATACTTGGTATAAGATCAGAAATAGAAAGTATGATGCCTGAAATGATATGCTAAGATTATAATTAGATCCTCGTCGTTTCACATGTTGATAAACACTAAATAAACTTTCGCTCTTTAGTCGAAAAATGAAGGCGAGCAACAATATTTCTTTGGTAGGTACGATCTACATTTCTCGACAATATTTATGAAAATAGTAACAAAAGTTGATGACAATGTCGACGACATATGTTGCTTTGGTGGAGACCCGGCTTAAGAACAAAACACAACTATTTTTAATTATGAACAAAAAAAAATAAGAAAAATCATGGTAGTATCATCATATTGCAGTAAATACCGAATTCTATGAATGAAACCAAACTAAAAACTAAACAAACAACGCAAACAGCTCGAGCGCTTCGAACCGCCCGCGCCGCGCCGCGCCGTACCGCCGTAAAGTATGCTCGCATGGCTCTGAAGCGCTTCTTTGACAGTCTTTGATATATGTAGTTACTATGGTAGTTACCGCGACAGAGTCGAACAGTCGAAGAACAGTCGAAACCACAGACCACGTCGAAACATACATTTTATCTAAGCATTTTATGTGATCGGAAGCACGTGGAGCACCGCGAGCGCTGCGAACATCTCGCTCCGACTGTTTGGTAGTTTTTCGTGTTTCACGTGTTCTTTGGCCTACTCGCGAGCAATGTGGACGCACCTTTAGAGTTCGGAATAGTGTTGTCAGAATTGAAGGATTTCCCTCAATATGAAGGATTTTACAGTCAACTTTCGTCGAATGAAGGGCTGAAGGATTTTTATCCAAAATGATGAATATGAAGGTTTTTGGCAGTTTTGCAAAATAAAAATGTAGTAGAAGAATATATGGTTTTTCCTACATCTGTTTTTTTCACTTTAACGGTGTTTAATTAAGGATTTAAAGCGATGTTGCTGTCAAAAAGTCCGCAATTTTAGAAATATTTTTACATTTAACAAAAAATTATTAGATACATTTTTATATTTCAACACATCTTATTCCACACGTACCATAACTAAACCAAAGTTCTTGATATTGAAAAGAAAGAAATATGTAAACGGAAAACATATCTAATAAGTCAGCTGATCATGGCGTCTTGTATGCTTAATTATTCTCGGTTCAGGCATTCATTATAAGCAATATTTTTTTTTGAAACATTCTTTATAATACTGCTGTCGAGTATCTATCACAGCATTTTTGATCGTGTTATTATTCATATTACCAGAAATAAATAATAAAAGTTTCTCCTAATTATAAAATAGGTAAAATAGCGAAATTAGGCAATTTTTTCACAAGATCTGGAATTTTTGATAAAGTTGAAGGAATCTGAAGGTTTTTTAAGGCTCTGTTGAAGGATTTCGGTCCGAAAATTTCTGGCAACACTGGGTGGAAGTTACTTTTGGTGTTACAACAGCAAAATAAAACACTTTAATTCACCTCAATGCACCAAAAAACATTATTTTTGAAATGGACGCACATCATCAACAGATGCTTCAAACTTTTGCAAGCAGTCTTAATAATCTGCTGATGATGCTAACATGGTTAGCGAAACGCGCGTCAATCAGTGCGTGGATTGTGGTGAATTAATGTTTTATTTTGCTGTAGTTGTATTTATTAATAATTCATTATTTTTATTAATAAGAATATTTAAAAATATGAGATATTAACCTGGTAATTTCTGGAATTTGGTACAGCTTCTTCACCACCGACTATGCGCGTATCCGCATCTTCCATCTTCAAGAAGGGAAATTGCTTTTGGACATCTGGATCATTTTCCAAATACAGAGGGGTGGCTTTCTTAAAATCTTCATAAGTCTAAAAAAAGTTTTTTTTTCTATATTATGTATTTATTTAACTTTTAAAAACTATATTACTAGCTCTTCTGCACAGAATGCTGCTGCAACCAAGCAAGATATCAAAAAAACTGTCTTCCACATGTTGAAGCACTATTGAGACTGGTCCTGATGTATAAAATAAAAGTTTATATAAACCTAAATAACTTAATCTCTTAATCCCAATATATTAACAATAAAACAATAATGACAATTTTATTGTTTGTTGTATTAACTAAAACCTCTTAACTGTAGTACCTTATTTAGTAGCATCAAATTTTGACTATCAAAAATTTACAACTAGGTATTGCCGTGTTCGGTGAAATATGAAGGCTTCTATAAAAGTTGGAAAACAATAATTAGTTTGCTTATTTTTAGACAATATCTTTGTATATATATTTTATAATATCTACAATAAAAGATTTTTTTTAAATTTCTAAAATATAATGAGGATATTTATGCAACTAAATAAACTCGTGTACTCTATGGCCTGCATAGGGATGTCCACGTATAAAATACATCGATGTAATGCATTGCATGTGTACATCGATGTTGCCATGCATCGAATCCAAAAACTTGGTTTGTACAAAAATTAATATTATCCATTAATTTGTAGTTACAACTTGATGGGTGGATGGATGATATAGTAACAAAAAACTTTGTTCTCAACTCAAAAATATAAATTATTGTAAACAAATTTATAGATTTACAAACTGTTAAAATAAACCAAAAAAATATTACAAGAAGTACTGGGACTATTAAAAGTTGTACTTCTTGTCTAAGCCTTGTAACAATAGAATTTTACTTAATCGGTCTCCTTTAAGCCTGGTTCTCTGTTGATTCATCGGTTGTCCAGCTTTCGAGAACAATCGCATGGGTATATATATATATATATATATATATATATATATATATATATATATATATATATATATATATATATATATATATATATATATATATATATATATATATATATATATATATATATATATATATATATATATATATATATATATATATATATATATATATATATATATATTTAATGCTAAAAAACTGTCGATAAATTCACCAGGGACAAAGCCAGGGACGTGCATATGGGTTATCACTGGAATATTTTTCAAATATAAAACGCGTGCCACTGATTTTTTTTTTATTTTGATATCATAATTGTGTAGGCCGTTTAATGCCAATTAAAAGTTATCTCCTGATATTTTGTCGAATTCGGCCTCCTTGATGAGATAAACGCAATTTTATTAATCACAATAATTAATAAAATAAAAATTAAATTAATAAATTATATATTTTAACTAATTTATTATTAAATATTATTACTATTAGTCATTATTACTATTAGTCCAAGTTACAGCAATTTCATATAAAAAATAATATATGTATATTTAAGATAATTACAAAAAAAACTAATTTTAAAAAGTTTTAACACCCCTGTAACTCGATCTAAAATTATACATTTCCATAACCATGTTTATAGGAACTTTTTTTCATATTTTTTGATGAGAAATAAATGACTATACTTATCTAAAACTTTCGAAAGTTAATATTAAATTTTTTTAAAGGTTGCTATTATAGATTTGAATCAAGCCAAATTAATAAAGTTGCGTTTATCTCATCAAGGACGCCAAAATCGACAACTTTTAATCAGCATTAAACTGCTTACACCTATGGCTTACACTATTTCGCTTACAAGAGAGAAAGAAGTCAATGGCGTATTTGCTTTTCACTCATCGTCTTGTCCCTGACTGTAGTGTCGTGGCCAGGGAATTGCACCAAGACATATAACGATACCGGGCGGGGCCACGGACAGCCTCAACCTTGAGGCACCGGGGGGCACCCCATTGTATTTTACCCCTTACTTCTACATGCGGGGCTCTGTAGAAGTGTACCGACTGTCCCTAGCGACTCATAGGAACACTATGAGATCTGGTAATAATAGTAATAAAAACATCACCGGTGAAGCTGTGGGAAAACCCCCTAGCGACACTGGGAACAGTAACAATAAAAGTTCCAAGGGGCCAAACCAAAGAGAACTACAGGAGAGGTGGCTGTACTTGCGTGAGACCATCCTCCGCAAGTGGCATACAAGCTACCACCTCCTCCAAGGGTCGGGAGGCTACCTCCTACCTCTAAACCCAACAGGCGACACAAGCTACCGTTTCGTCTACCCGGCCTGGGTCGTAGCTCCTCGACTGTGAGGGACACGGGTCTCCGTAGGAATTCCTGGGACTGTATGATGAGTTATAACTCAAGAAAGGGGGACACAATCACAGAACACACTAAAGAAGAACGCTAACTCCCATGCATTTTTTAGTTTCAAAACGGTTTCAAATTTGTAAAGAAATCTGTAATCTGTATATTGAAGTGGCGCCATCTAGCCACCCAGGAAAGTAACAAATGTGGCGGCAAATTTAAATAGATGCAATTTATTTTTAAGCAAGACGTATGACTTGTTCGCCAGTTAGAGCCAATCAGATTTCTACAAAATAATGTGTAGTCATCTGATTGGTCCCAAGTTGGCAAACAAGTCAAATGGTAAAAAACAAGGATTTATATATAAAGGTTAAACCAGGTTAAACTATTGTAAAGTGTTAAATGGTTTGCTTATATCATTAATATATGTGCATAAAAACCTACAATAAATAATTTATTTTAATTTACAGAAAATTATACCATAAAACATTTTACAAACAAATAAAACAACAGATTAAAAAGTATAATATTTATTATAGTACCAGATTTAAGAACACAACAAATATCGTTGGAATACAAGAGAAAGTGACGTCCATTAGAAACAATGTTTTATTTACGTGTATTTTTTACATTGGACTTGAACAATTGTGTAATATCATATTGTGAAGTTTATGTACAAAAATATGGAGTTGATCAATTTTTTTTGTAAAAATATATGGCGTTGTAAATATTACATTGTTAAAAAATAAAATTCACGAACATTTGGACTTGGTTAGGTTACCTCACCTCGCTTTCTCGGATTATTAAATAAAATTGTTAGATAAATCAAAAACCTTTAACTTAAACCTTACCTTTAATAGAGATCTTAAAAATCAAACACAAAACAAAGTTCAAAAAAATTCAAAAATACAAAATCACGATTTTAAAATGAAGATTGCAAAAAACACAGCCAAACAACCAGCAAACAGCGAAACGCACATCTCCGTTCAATTGCAAAACACAACTGAAGAAGAAGGAGGAAGCCGGAAACGGAAAACTGATTTGACATACAGAACAATGACAGAACATAATTAATAGGCCTATTTAGGCAACTATAAAAACAATTTTGTACGCAATTGTTAGGCAACTAGAAAAATTAAAATAAAAATACGCCATCTAGCGCCCCAGGAAATTACTATCCCAAAAACAGATCGTTCAAGGTCGTATATCTCAGTTGACTGGCCCTGGACACAATAGATCTCTAAGGTCGCAGAGATTAACCCCCCTCCCACTTATTCTAAATTCTAAATCTAGGGACTTTAGCTTTTTTTAGAAAAATATTTCAGTGATAACCCATATGCACGTCCCTGGTAAATATGCCGACTTTTTTTAGCTTTAAAATATGTCGCATTTACAGTAACTTTTACCCTCAAAATTACATTCGAGATGCTTAAAGTACTTGGAAGAAAATTAAAATAAATCGAAAAAATATTAAGACTTTAACACCCTGTAGCTACGAAACAAAGCAGAACCGGACCTATGTTGATATGAAAAATAAATCCTATTTTTACGTGAGGAATCTCTTCACGAGAGATGGCACATGTTTTTTAAAACACCCTGAATAATTTCGGAAATTCAATTTTTAAGTAAAAAAGATAAACAAGAAATCCTATACCGTAGAGAAATGTCCAATAAAACTTATGTGGTATTATAATAATAATGTTCTAAAGTGCTTTGTATATTTTTTATTTTCGTCGTTTGCTACACAATTAAAAGGAAATATTGGATGTGGCGTGCATAATAGCCGTGCAACGTGCAACTCGCGCATAGAACTCGCGATTCACTACATCAAATGAAATACCGCATGATCGAGAAAAAACGGCGTCAATGATGACTATGAAATGAAGATCGTTGTCAAATTATATGTAAATTTATATGGGAAATGTCATCGATCGTCATTTCCCAGCCAACTGGACGCCGTTTTTTTTTCGATCATACGGTATATCAATGCATCGAATATATCGAGTAATATCGAATAGTATTTGATACATCGAAATCGAAACGCAAATATCGATGTTTTCAATGCATCGATGTATTTTTGACATCCCTACCCTGCCGGTAACAATAACTGACATTAACCTAATTTTTTGAAAAATATTGTAAACAGCAGGTAAACAGTATTTTTTTTAAGAAAATTTAATTATTGTTTTAAGTATTTTTATTAATATCACAGATCTTTTGTATCATGGACGAACAACCTTTACAGGGGAGTATTGTCACCCCTACAGTTCAACAAATACAAACTGACCGAATAACACAGGTAAATAAATGGTTTAGGAAAATACAAATCTGTATTATCTCAAAATTGCGAATTCTTCTCTTGCATTCTTTTTTAATAAACATAAGCACATATATATTGCATAGGCATATTCTAGTTTAAGTATATTAAATACGTTTTCTTTCAATTTTTATAGCTGGCAGAAAAATATTGGGCTCCACACACTGTCGAAAATCATTTTGAATTTGAACCAAATGTGATTGAAGATATTTATATGACTGATATTCGAGGTAGCAAGTACGATTTTTATACCAAATAGCCAAATTATTAATATTTTTATTAATATTTTATGTTTTTTAGTTTCTCAATTAGGAGAATTATGGTTCTGGAATTTAGTCAATATCTTGAGAACTTTTTATGGCCAAATTACAAGCCTGGAGCTTCATTGGCACATATACTATCAATTGTTATAATGGTAAATGAAAAATTTAGAGAAAGAGTTCAAGTATGGCAGGTGAGAGATCATTACTTAATATTGGTCATAAAATAACACAGAATAACTTTTTAGGCATTTAGAAAACAAAACGAGCATTTTCCAGATTTCTTTCAAAGAGTCCTTCTTGCTTGTTTGGAAGATGAACTACTAATAAATTTAAAAGAACAGACAGCTGTCTTAGTATTCCTTAATCATTGTTTTAATAGCATGGAAGAGGCTATTTGTAGAGACCAAGTAAAAAGATTGGTTTCTTTGTCAATGTGGATATCTTTACAACCCAACAGAAGAGAATATGAATTTAAGAAAAATCCTAAATGGAAGAAATACTGGAGAGCCATTCAAAGAAAAGATAAACCCGAGCAACTTGACAAGTTAATATGGGAGAGGACTTTTCTGCATAAGCTCATGCTCAAGTTTCTTTCAGTTTTAGATACAATTGGTGAGCAAGGTATTTGTCCATCTGAAAAGGTAAGAATAAACGACACATTTTGAGACATACTTAATTTTATATTGCCTTTTTAAGGTTCATTATTGTGAAAGATTTCTGGAGTTGCTCATTGATCTTGAAGCCTTGTTGCCGACAAGAAGATTTTTTAATACCGTTCTAGACGACTGTCATTTGGTGGTCAGATGTTCATTATCAGGATTAATCAAGAGACCAGAAGGGCACTTGTTTAGTCAGGTAAGTTTTTTTACTTTACTAAATTGAATGACCTTATTTGTTGGTGAACTACCAAATAAACACTTAATATAAAGTTGAACACTAAGAAATTTACATTAAATATAAATATTTTTTTGGTTCAATTTTCAGTTAATAAAATACTATAGTCTAAATTTATACTTTATTTCTATGTTAAAACATAAAGATAAGTATATTAAGTACACACAGTATAATATTTGGAAAAAGTAGTATAAAAATATAAATTTTAAATATGCACACTTGAGATTCAGTTGATATATTTTGTTATTAAAAAGAATATAACTTAAGAACAACATTATTTTTATCCACTAACAATTTTCTTAAATATAATCATATTTCACATTAATAGATCTAAAAAAATATCAAATATCACACTATTGTCTCTAAATATTAATATGGACTTGTGTTCATTGCTGTCATTTCATCTCCCCATTCACTCTCTTGCTCGGGGCGACAACATGGACAAATACAGTTCTCATAACAGCATGTCTTCTTTAATAAATAAGACACATGTTTCTGGTTCAAAACACATATGTAAAAAATTAGTGGCCCCTGTAGTGTATTTACAATAATATGACTGCTTATTAATCCTTCAAATTTGGAAAATGATGAAAGAAGGAACAGCCAACACAGAGTCATTACAAGCATGAGGAGCAAAAACATTCTAAAACTGTAAAAAGAAGTTATATAGATTAAAGAAACATAATTATATTTTTTGTTATATAACCTGTGTCTTAGTTTATGATGTATTCGTCCATAAGTATGCATTCTGTTGATTTTCTTCAAAGTTGTGGCAAAGAAAAATACATCAACTAATACTGTAAAGGCTACAGGTACAAAGAATATGATCATTCCTAAAGATCCTGCAAAATATGTAATTATAAAGTATTTTATCTCTGAAATATTGCAAGTACCTACCTATTTGTTCTTGCTCAGGATCTTGAACATTTTTTGCTTTAAATTCAGGATAGTCCATTGTAAAATGTGCAAACACTGCTAAAACTCCTAAAATTATTGTGCAGGACCAGGCATACAGCCCATAGTAACAATACTTTTTACCATCGGTTATTCTCAGAAATACATTTCTTGATCTAGAAAATATATTATAAATAAAACTGTTCTGATATATGTTGAAGTAACCATAACTAACTTAAATGTTTTCCATATATAATATCCTAAACTATTCAACCAGAAAAAGGCACCTAACAGACTAATATAGCATATTGTCTCTGAAACAGAATATACATTAAAACGTATTGTCTCGCTGATATTGCAGAATTTACCAGTAATAAGCAGACTTATATGGCTTTTAAAAACTGTTAAAAGTCTCACCAAGTCAGCTGTTTGGCTTACTATAAGGCACATACAAATTGTAGTTGTGATATTTCCTGACAGATCTCTTAATGTTGGCATTACAAAATAAATTATTGCCACTATTAACAGAAAAATAATAGTTATTGCATGTGTGACAGGGCTTACAACATTGTGCATTAAAAACTCGTTTGCTGTCCAATCATGCTGGTGAATAGGTGCACATACCAATGCAAATTCGCTAATAAATCCAAAACCATCGTTTTTCTAAAATTTAAAAATATATTAGTTTGTTTATAGGAAGTACAAGTATTGTATTTTTACCTTATCCAAACAATATTTTCCAGGTGCATAGTCGTAATATATTTTAGATTTGTCATCTGCAAATTCAGAATCATTGTCTAATTCATTTGGAACTTGATTATCAATGTAATGTCTTAATACACCGTTTGGCAACAGTCTCAGTTTATCTGTTGAATTTTGATAGTGATACACTGACCATTGTTGCATATGACCACAATTAGGTGTACCTATTGCTAAACTAAAAAAATTAGGTCAATTTTATTTTCCCATAAGATAAAATAATTATCTTACTTATGTTTTATTTGCAAATTTGTTTCGCCTCGCTCAGATGTGAAAAGAGGATGCCAGAGGTTTACTTCATCTGCAAGCTTACAATAGTTACCAAAATATGTTTCATTTACTCCACAACATTTATTAACTATAATTCTTTGATAGTCCTGTCTGTTATTTGGGTACACTTCAGGTATAGACAGGGAGTAATTAATTAAGATCAAAATTTGTATGACGATAAACATTATTTTTGTGATGTTTTCCAAATTTGTTGTTTAAGGTTATGTTCCTTGTACCGAAAATAATGCGTGGCTGTGCAGTATCTTCAACTTTTTCATTTGGTGAGATAATTTAATGTTTAAAAGAAACATTAACACAAACACTGGCAATGAAAATATCAACTAAATACCTTCAAGGCCTCCTAGGAGGTTAATTAATATCTAATATTTGTTTTCGTTTTCTTTTTACCTCTGAATCACCTTTCCGATGTTGCCAACTGTGGTCTAACTAAAACTAACCGTTCCCGTTCATGCATGCATGATGCATTGGTTTTAAATTTAATCTATTTGGATTATTAAAACTTATTGTATCTGTAATTATTTAGTGATTTTAGTATTTAATTTCATGTTTATAAATTTATTTATTACATTATATAGGATTTGTTTTTGTTTTAAGTTAATTTAGGAATATTATGTTCCGAGGTTTCGGCAAAGGTTTCAGTACATCTCAGGTGAGACGACAACATTGCAGGGTTAGTTAGGAATGAGTCCAACAATCGATAAATTGATATTTACTTATTCGACTATATTAATAAGGATGGGGTTATTTACAAAAGATAATATTTTATACATAATCAAGGATAATATATTACAAATATCGATAGAGCAGTAATTGAATTAATTCTGAACTGCTCAGATACATAATTATTTAGGAAGTTAAAATTCTTTGCAATGTTATAAATATGTTAACATGTAACATGTTGATCTATATTGCCCTACACATTATCAGCTAATATGTTGCTAATTAAGTTTGTTGGTGAGTTTTTTCATAAAAAAAAGTTGCTTGTGGAGAGATGCGTTTATTTGGAGTAAACGCTGATTCTTATTTGGCGAACTCCCTGGGGACTTCTCCACTCGCTGTTACCAATAGGGTATATAGTGTAGTATTCGGAAAAACAGAGTTCTCATGTATATCTTGTGGCCGTTTTAAATGAGGTATTCTCTGTCATCTTGATTTCTATAATTTTATTCTAAGATGGCAGAAGATGTTTTAAAATACAACTTAAAAATATATATTTTATTTGGATATTTCGATTGCTCCATTTGTATATTCGACGATGGCTTTGTTTGTCCGTTCTTCGTCACTGCATATTTCCTCATCTTCTAGATATTTCCACGAACTGGGAAATTTGATGTTACATGGGTTTTTGCTAGCTAAGGCTCTTCTGACTCGTTTTCTGAATACCACTAAGACCAAGAAAATTAAGATGCCTTGAAGGATGTTAAATAAGTCCAAAAAGAAACTAAAAAAGAAATATATTTGCAGTTAAAAAAGTTATTCCAAATTTTAGATAAAGGAAAAAGTTATAAATATTACAGTATAAGAGTTAAAAATGAATATTTGTGTGTACTTGACCTACAAGAAAATCTTTCCTGTTATTGATACTCTGTCCTTTAGTGTTGCTGTGATAAGTTCAAATATCCACGTAATTCCCATGATAATGCTCAGTCGAATACATATCTTTAATCTAAGATCTTTTAAATTAGTACTTATTTTTAATTTTGTATAAACAAATTTGTTGTTACCTGTATTTTAGAATTTTGTTTTGAGTGTTTTGGATTCTAGTCCATAGCACCACAACTGTCCAAACGTAGAATATAACGTTACAGATAAGTAGTAATGAAATAGGACCATAGAAGTAGAACATAGTTTCTCGTATTGCTAAAATTGAGAAAATTAACACATTTTACAAACCTCGTGTTAATATTTTTTTTATTATTAATTTCTAATGATTATGCAATTATTGCAATCCTTTAACTTCATAATCAGTTTAGAAATTAAGTTTTAGAGGTTTTTTTGTTTCAGAATTTTAGTAATTAAATAAGATATTTAAAACTCGGATGCCCTGTATATTTTACAAGATTGCTTTGTTCTTAAACCATAATGATATCCTCTATTTTACAAATGTTACAAAGACTATTCAAATCTACTTTACGCAATAGTGTGGCAATAGTTTAGTCACCCAGAGCTGCGACAAGTCAGTTTTAAAAAGACTTAGAAAGCGTTAAGTCTTAAGTCGTTTCCAAAATCAAAATGATTTAAGTCTTAAGTCTTTAACTTAAATCGTTTTATTTCTCAAGTCATTTTTGTAAAGACTTAAATCAATATTATACGTTAAAGGTACGCGCACGCTGACCAGAGCCGCACGCGCCGTATCGACCGAAGAAAAATATTGTTTGTGTTACTTTCAATGAAGGTGCGCACACTAGCCAGAGCCGCACGAATCGCATTGACGAAAATGCGGCCAGCATTGTTGGGCCAGAATGATTTTCGATAAATGCGGCTAGTGCTGCTGACGTCACACGCAATTCCTTCCGCTCTACGTAGGTGCCGAAGAGGAGATGAGAAATTCAATATGCTAAGAAAGTGCGCAAATTTTTCATGGCTCATATTGAAAAATGTTTAGTTTATCCTCAATTAAATATGGAAATAATGTGGATTTTTGCAAATATTGTGAACCTATAACTTTCGATTCTTTCTCGTGATTTCTTCTTCTTCTATTAGCAAGGAGCTTATAATTATTTCTTGTTCGTTGTCAGTCATTGTCGAGAAATATTAAAAAACACGCTTATTACCGCAGACAGGACTCCGGAAACGACTGATGAGAAATTCGATTGGCAAATACGGGTGTAGTAAGGGAAAAAAACAAAATAGCGAATAATGCGGCGCGTTCGGTACGGCTCAGTGTGCGCGACAAGAAAAAAAAAGTGCGATTCGTGCGGCGCTGGTCAGTGTGCGCGTACCTTAAGTCGTTTTTATGACTTAAGTCTATATTATTGACTTAAATCATGATGATCTGCAAGCTAAGTCAGTAAAATGACTTAAATCAATATAATTATCCAGTCAAGTTAAGACAACGAAAATTCAATTTATTATTTATGTACCTTTTTAAATATTAAAATTAATTTTCTTGTATAACCACTTAGGCGATTTTCTTACTTACTTATCATACTATTAATTTATTATATTACGGCTAATTTTCGGAACAACTACAAACACAAAAATATGTTTTTTTATAAAATTTAACCGATTTTGTAGTACTTTATATGTATCCATTACAGGTTTAGATGTCATCGAATACTGTCTCGTCGAATATGTCTATATACAGGGTGAGTCTTAAATAAGTACAAATATTTTCAGGGGTGGTATATTTCGACCCCAGGAACACGTCTATGAGTTTTTTTCTCGCCAAAAAAAGATGTCGAAAATCGTGCATTTTCTTTTAAATTTCCCTCTATATTTTTCGAAACCTTTTTAGAACTGCCTGTTCACCCATCGCGGTATAATTTCTTAATCTCTGCAAATACAGAAAAAATCCGGTAGCTCTCAACATTTTTTCAAAAAAAAACAATTTTTTAAAATTTTTAAACTTAAATAACTGGGTTATTTGGGACTTATCTGAAAAATGGTAAAGAGAGATATGTTTCTTTTATCGAGATCTACTAGCCCTGAAAATATTTGCACTTATTTAAGACTCACCCTGTGTATCGATGGCATAAGCTAAGGGCTGGAGGATTTTAAGGTAGTCTTCAAGATATTGGAGATATTTTTTTTTGTTTGTCTTTCGGACTACATAACGGAGTCGGGGATTTACTTGAAAGACAATAGACCCATTACACATGCGTTTTGTTTGCTATACCGGGTGCGTCTCAAAAGTGGCTCACCCGTATAACTTTTTTATTTTTTCGAGATTTGGTATGTTAGTATATGACATAAATTAGGATTAATTGACGTATTCAGTTGTTTTTAGTCACTTCCTGTTTCAGCGGAAATTACTACAACTTTTGATTTTTAAACGGCACCCTCGGTATTTTTTTACTTTATTTGATAGAAAATGATACTCTGAATAGTATGACATACCATATGTCAACTTTTGACATTTTCGCTTTAAAAAAAATCTTACTTTGAATTTCAATCTAGAGCGCCATGGTTGTGTTAAAAACACTAATTTTTATACAAGAGCCTTGGAAAAATAGATTTGAACGTCTAATGTTTTTTGTCTTGTCCTGGTCGGTTGAAAGATGCACAAATCGTATTTTTAATCATATCTTGATTTTTTCAAATGGAACGAGAGTGGCTCATTAGCATATTTGGAATAAGCATTTTTTACCAATAATTTGGTACCACACACTTGGTATTTCGAGTCAAATTATCGTTATGAATCGCATGTTACAATTTCAAATAGACGATATGAGAAAATGTCAAAAGATGACATATGATATGTCATTCTATTCAGAGTGCCATTTTCTATCGAATAAAGTAAAAAAATACCGAGGATGCCATTTAAAAATCAAAAGTTGTAGTCATTTCCTGTGAAACAGGAAGTGACTAAAAACAATTGAATACGTCAATCAATCCCAATTTATGTCATATACTAACATACCAAATCTGTTTTTTTTATCTGAAAAAATAAAAAAGTTATAGGGGTGAGCCACTTTTGAGACGCACCCGGTATAGTGGTATTGATACAGAATATTTACATGTAACATGTTGATCTATATTGCCCTACACATTATCAGCTAATATGTTGCTAATTAAGTTTGTTGGTGAGTTTTTTCATCAAAAAAAGTTGCTTGTGGAGAGATGCGTTTATTTGGAGTAAACGCTGATTCTTATTTGGCGAACTCCCTGGGGATTTCTCCACTCGCTGTTACCAATAGGGTATATAGTGTAGTATTCGGAAAAACAGAGTTCTCATGTATATCTTGTGGCCGTTTTAAATCAGGTATTCTCTGTCATCTTGAGTTCTATAATTTTATTCTAAGATGGCAGAAGATGTTTTAAAATACAACTTAAAAATATATATTTTATTTGGATATTTCGATTGCTCCATTTGTATATTCGACGATGGCTTTGTTTGTCCGTTCTTCGTCACTGCATATTTCCTCATCTTCTAGATATTTCCAATGAACTGGGAAATTTGATGTTACATGGGTTTGCTAGCTAAGGCTCTTTCTGACTCGTTTTCTGAATACCACTAAGACCAAGAAAATTAAGATGCCTTGAAGGATGTTAAATAAGTCCAAAAAGAAACTAAAAAGAAATATATTTTGCAAAGTCAAAAAAGTTATTCCAAAATTTTAGATAAAGGAAAAGTTATAAATATTACAGTAAGAGTTAAAAATTAATATTTGTGTGTACTGACCTACAAGAAAATCTTTCCTGTTATTGATACTCTGTCCTTGGGGGTGTTGCTGTGATAAGTTCAACATCCACGTAATTTCATGATAATGCTCAGTCGAATACATATCTATCTATCCACGCCAAAAAGCAAACAACATGACCAGATTGAACGTATCGGGGTCTAGAAAACAATACCGCCGACGATCTCCGAAGCAAGAATCACTTCCACCGATAACTTCAATTCAATATTGGATGCTGAACAAGGCTGGACACAATTAAGAGATGCGATTCATAAAACCAGCGAAGCAGTACTGGGAAAGTCGAACAAAAAGAAACAACCAGACTGGTTTAACGAAAATCAACCGCATATACAAGCTTTGTTGGAACAAAAGCATAGAGCACATCAAGTAGTCACTGCAAATCCACATAATCCAAGACAGGTAGACAACTTTAAAGCAGCCAACAACACGACGCTTCGAAGAGAACTGCGCCAAGTAAAGGATAACTGGTCGTCACAAAAAGCGAATCAGATTCAAGTGTACGCCACGCATCACGATTATCGTAAATTCTACGAGGCTGTAAAAGAAGTATACGGTCCAACTAAGAACGTAAGCTGCCCAATCATGGCACAAAATGGCGAACTTCTAAAAGAAGAAGAACAAATCAGAAATCGCTGGAAAGAACATTACAGCCATATCCTTAACCAAGAAAACAACCCCAATATGGAAGCACTAAACACAACACCTCAGTATAACAGCCTCGATGTATTAGACATCCCAATAACAGAACAGGAAATAAAGATCTCCATAAAACAGCTTAAAAACAACAAATCAGCTGGCTGTGACGCGATTCCGGTGGAAATCTATAAGTGTGCAAGTAAAGAACTTATTGGTCATCTTAAGGCTCTCTTCGATGTCGTATGGGAAAGCGGAGAGGTACCTGAGGACTTTCGCAACGCGAATATAGTGAATATATTTAAGGACAAAGGAAGTGCATCAGACTGCGGCAATTATAGGGGAATTTCGCTATTTGCTATCGGCGAAAAAATTTTTGCAAAAATAATGTCAAACCGCCTGCACCCATATATAGAAAAAATCCTTCCAGAATCGCAAACGGGTTTTCGTACCAACCGCGGCACCGTCGATTCCATATTTTCGATCCGTCAACTACAGGAAAAAGTAAAAGATCAGCAGTCTAAACTTTATGTTGCATTTGCATTCATCGATCTAACGAAAGCCTTCGACTCTGTGAACAGAGATGCGCTTTGGGCAATTATGAAAAAGTTCGGAGTACCCAACAAATTTCTTACAGTGTGTAAAAGCCTCCATAACAACAACAAGTCAAGAGTGTCACATCATGGATCACTGGGCGATCCATTCCTAACAAATACAGGAGTTAGGCAGGGATGTGTCTTAGCGCCTCTCCTATTCAACATATTCATGGCAGCGCTCTCCATTATAGTGGACAGCAAACTGCAGGAGAGAGGATTGGGCATTAGATACAGATACGACGGCGGTCTGTTCAACATAAAAAGACTC